TCTGTTCTCCTGTAATTTCTTGCACCCATTTCCAATTTTTTGTCAAATATTTTTGTGTTTCCAGGCAGGTCCACCATATGTGATAATAAGTCCCTTATACTTTTTTACACTTCCAGCAGGTCGGTTTCATGTTTGGGTACATTTTAGCCAACCTTGTCGGTGATAAATGCCAACGATAAAACATTTTGTATATATTTTCTTTAAATGCTACTAACATCAAGCTTTTAAAGCATGTAATTATGGTGTTTCAGTGTCCTTACTTTATGCCAAATCTGTGACAGAAAATGTGTGAACCCAAAATTGGGAACCAAAGATAAGAGTTCCAACACCCATTTATTCTAGTTTTCAAATTGGCAAATACTAAGGCATAATGTTCCATTCAACACCCTCTAAGAAGGCAACAAAAATAGGAGTTTTTATCAAGCTGTGAGTGAAAATAGTATGTGAAAGTCAATGCAATATGTTTAACAGTATGGACTTGCTGTTTATTACTCTTGCTTTAGGCTGTTAGTTTCATTGTGACTTAAAAAGAAATCTATCATTAAAAATAAATTCTGGTTTAGAATTAAACATTTTCCACATGAGGGATTTTCCTTCATCTGCAATCATTGCAAAATGATGTTTATTTTCTCTCTTTGAAGGACAGAGAACCAAAGGGTTGAACTGGAATAGGAATCTTGAAAATTCTTAATATTGTTTAATATAGTTCTGCCCCCTTGTACTTGAACACTGTTACATTTAGGATTTGTTTGATTTTCATTGGTATTTTCCAGTCAGCAATTGGTTCAAGAATTATCCCTAACTTCTCAAATTAAGATAGGCTTTTTAACATGTTCATTGTACTGCTTTTTTGATCATTGAAATATGTAGTCATTTAGGATAAATGCAGTAATAAGCTATTCATTCATGTCACAAATCACACTGTTCCTGTAAATAAAACTGTGAAAGGCATTCAGCTGCCATACATCTACCCACCCAGGGGTGGGCTGCTATGGGTTCACCCAGATTTGGGAGAACCCTTAGCTAATGTTATGGCCGGTTCTGAGAATCTCCAAATCCCAACCCCTCCCAGGAGTCTCCACGTGGCCTGTTGGATGTGAGATAAGTGCAGGGCCTGTGCGGAGGCTCGAGGGGGGAAAACGGGCCTTCCGTAAGGCCAGAAATGGGCCTGTTTCCAGCCTCTGGGAGGCCTTCAGAGCCTGGGGGAAGCAGTTTTCACCCTCCCAGAGGCTTGGGGAAAGCCTCCAGAGCCTGGGGAAGGCGAAAATGCCCCCCTGCCATGGTGCAGGAGGCCGACGAGGCTATGCCTAACCTGAAGAAAGAATCCACTTTACTGACTCTTTACATAGATAAAGAGAATATGCAGACAATTTGGCATTTATGACCTTTAGAAATCTGAATTAAGGAGTTAATTAAAAATTTGTGAAATGACCTGATGTATAAATATAGTTGTTGACCTACTTAAGATAATTTGATTTAATGTCATGGATAATTTAGATAACATTTTTGCTTAACTGTAGTTTGCTTATAGGAATGAAAAAAATGGAATGGGAACCAAGATTCAAGCATTCTCTAAATGGAGTTAAGTCCCATGGTGCTCAGCTGTGCTTAAAATATATCTGTCTGTCTACATACATACACATACACACTGTGAGACAAATTATCTTTGTAATTCTGTAATTTTTAATATAAATTTACAATTGCGACAATTATTTAAAGAGCTACTTAGCTATTTCAAAGAATTTGGGTCCAAGCTGTACCATTATGAATATTTATGAAAGTTATAAGACTCCCTTGCAATCACTGGACTTGAGGCACCTTACAGAAGTTACATTATAAAAACAAGAGACATACTCAGAATAAAATGTACTAATTAGTTCGAACTATTTAATTAACTAATCAATAGTTAATTAACTGTTAATAGCAGTGATTAAAATGCTAACAAAAAGTAAGGAATTAAAATTATAGAATTGTAAAAATAAGCACAAAGGTGCCAAGATGAAATTGAATTTATCTGAGTTGGGAAACAATAATTTTTTATTTGAACTGCTTTGTGACGCAATGTGATCAGATTCAACCCAAAGTCAGTCAGTCAGTCATCCTCTGTCTGTTTGTCCTTCCTTCCTTCTCTACATCTATCTATCTATCAATCTACCTATCTATCTATTTAATCTCCAAAGCACCTGAAGGCAGAACAAGAAGCGATGGATGGAAACTAATCAAGGAGAGAACCAACCTAGAAATAAGGAGAAATTTCATTTCATTTTCATTTTCCCTTTATTTGTATGCCGCCCTTTTCCCTGGGGGGACCCCGGGCGGCTCACAGTTAAAAAAGGGGGGGGGGAGGACAAACAATTTCCAACATACAGACAATACAACATATTAAAAAGAGAGCACAACAGTCACACAATTCGAGTAGGGGTTAGAGTCTTTAGCCCCAGGCCTGCTGGGACAGCCAGATTTTGAGGGCAGCGCGGAAGGACTGGAGGGTGGTGAGGGTCCGAATCTCCACGGGGAGTTCGTTCCAGAGGGTCGGAGCAGCCACCGAGAAGGCTCTCCTCCGGGTAGTTGCCAGTCTACATTGGCTGGCTGATGGAATTCGGAGGAGGCCTAATCTATGCGATCGTAACGATCTAGTGGAGGTAATTGTTGACAATTAGAACAATTAATTAGTGGAATGGCTTGCCATCAGAAGTTGTGGGTGTTTCATCATTGGAGGTCATCAAGAAGAAATTGGACAACCATTTGTTTAAAATGTCTTCTGCTTGAGCTGGGGGTTGGATTAGAACACCTCCAAGGTGTTTGTTTGTCTGCCCATCTGTTTTTCTGTCTATCTCCTTCATAAGCATGGTAGAGGAGAATGCTATTCTACCAATGTAGACCTGAGAAAGATAAACACAGCTAGATTTGATTAGTATTTCAATGGGAGATCTTTAGCATTTCCCAGACTATAGTTTATATGGAGGAGAGGGTAGGAAAAAAATAATGAGAAACTAATTCTGTGTTATTGCCAAAAACCCTATAGAGATATGTCCCTGCAGTCAACAGCAGAAGCCAAGCTCAGTGTGAAGGAAACTATTTTTACTTGTCCTTCATAAGTGATGTATAAAATAACCATGGAGAAAGGAAGACATAAGGTTAAAATGCACCTTGGCAGTTCAGCAAGACACCACCTTCTGGATTCAGTGTTCTGTTAAAATCCTTCAACTATGAAACTGTTTACCTGTTCTGTAAGGTAACAGCTAGATAACTTTCTGTCTTCCAACTGCCCTAAATAAATTGGGAATATATCACTAGAAATTTCTGAATTGTTGCTGAAGCTGCGGTGCCTTAGGCTTATATTTCAATTCTAATTTGAGGTCAGTGCAAGACACATTTTTATTATGCTAGTGAAACACTATTATGTGCATGCTGCTATGTTACAGGCTAATCCAATATTTGAAGTTATCATTATAATTTTTTTAGGAGTATCTGGAAGCACTGAAATGCCTAGAGTAGTATTCAAAATCCCAATTAATGCTTGTAGGCTATTTCCTGATATAGATATAGGTCAGGGGTCCCGAACTGTCAGGCCTCAGCTCACTACTGGTTCTTGAGCCGTTCGGAACTGGGTCATGAAAGTGGCAGGCAAGCACGTGCATTCCCACTTGCACAAGCTGTGCATATGCACACCATTTGTGCAAGTGGGCATGACAACTGCACGCACATACTTGCCCACCGCTTGCGTGGAACCATCCCTCCCTCTCCAGTCCGCAAAGCCGGAAAGATTGGAGAACTCTGATATAGGTGATATAGATATAAATAGATGTAAGCTGTCTGTTACCTTCTATTAATACTCATCGAAAATCCCATATCACAACCTGGAATGAGATACTATATATGTATTAGAACAAATACGTTGGTCAAAAATAATTGTACAAGACTAGCACTGTGTAAGTAGTTATATACGTTATTTGTCTTTCACTTTGGTTTCTATGGCGGATGAAACGCAGGACGGTCACACTGTGTTCGATATACTTACATGTAAATAATAAGAATTTTTTTAAAAAAAGAGAAAAGAAAATCCCATATCATTAAAACATACAAAAATACTTTCACTGAAAATGCTGGTCCAGTTCAGATGTAACATTCTGGCATGCTTTAATTTGGTTTTCTATATTTGCAAACTTGCAAACTCGTATGGCATGTTGAACCATTATTTAATCATGATTAGTTTACACAATGTGCTCAATCCAAACCAAAGAATTACATTATGTCTTTAAGCAGCCTTCTGTCAGAATATTGGATTATTACTAGGAACACAACAAGATCACAAAGTAATTTTAACTGGGTTTCACTTTATAATTATATTTTGCGTTTATTACACAGTGATTAATTTGCATTCAATATTCTATGTTTTGATTGACTGAAAGAAATATATCAGTATTTCATGAATGCTTTTCTTGTCACATACCTTCAAATATAGATTTTCACACTAATGGCTGATCAAATAGCATTTTATGATGGAGGTTTATTTCATTTTTCTTTTTTAGGAAAAAATCTTTCCTGTTTTCTGCTCTATATGCTGCCTTTATATTCGGTGGTCGGCATCTAATGAACAAAAGAGCAAAATTTGAACTAAGAAAACCATTAGTTTTGTGGTCTTTGAGTCTCGCAGTTTTCAGGTAAGCTATTTTTTGGAAGCTATTCATATTTAAATTATTAACTGGTTTAAATAAGGAAAATATTTTAAAAGTTAATTTTTAAAAAAACATCAGGATTCTTACATTTTACAACTGCCTTCGCCAAGCAGGAGACCTTGGAGACAGAGAAATTTCAACTGAGAATTCCCAGCCAATGTGTTATATAATATATGTGTACCACAATTGCAAGGTCTGAGGTATCCCTTTCCCAGTTATCTGGCAACTTATTCCCCCAAGTATTAGGCTGGATTGAAATGGAAGCCTGAGGATGGCATGTTAGGGGCATCACAGGACAATGGATATGGCATGGGGCAGGGGGGATGTTTTATGTTTTATTTTTCTGCTTTGTGCCTTTATGCTCCATGGCAGGGGTGTCAAACTCACGTCGTCACCGGGCATCACATGATGTATTGGGGATTTCCCCCCCCCTTCGCTAAACCAGGCATGGCCAGCGTATGACGCATCCGGCCCACGGGCCGGGAGTTCAACACCCCTGCTCTACAGTTATGCTCAAAATGGGTGCATCTAAAGTTAAGCTTTAAAATGGGTGGCTAGACAATTTTTTTAGATAAATAAAAATAAACTGTCCTCCTGAAAGATGTATGTCCTTTCAAGCTTCATTAAAGCATATGAGGATTGGCTCAGGATTAAGAAACATCTGAGGAAGTAAGTACAATATTATTTTCACCATCTTTAAATTGTGGATTTAATCTATTTACCACAGCTTTATTGCAATTCAACCTTGCAATCTTGTACTTGTCTACTCAAATTAACTCACATTGGAAGCAATAGTGCTTAATCCTACAGGAATGCAGGACAGAAGGACAGATTGTTAGTAGTCAAAAATAAGAAGAGTCTGGTAGCACTTTTCCAGCCTAACATATTTTATGAAAAGGCATAAACTTTTATGTGCTCCAGTGTGCTATGTCATGTACATGGAAATGTAAGATGTAGCCTAGGTTTCTGTTACATATCTAAAGTTTTCTGACAGTTGAAATGTGTATGAGAGTTACTTTGGTGCATCAGTCTTAAGGAAAAAGGCAAGGCAAACCACTTCCAAAAATGTTGTTCAGGATTAATTCGGAGACCATCATCATCATCATCATCATCATCATCAATATTTTGATTTAGGATAATGATAGCTAGATAGATGACAGATTTCAATGGTGGATACTCTATTGCAGGGGTGTCAAACTCAAGGCCAGGGGGGTGGATCCAGCCCACAGGGTACTTAGATCTAGCCCATGGAGCCACCCTGGAAACAGCAAAGGACTGGCCTGCAGTGCTTCTGCCAGCAAAAATGAGCTCCGTTTTCAGCTGTCTCGGCCTCCTGCAACCCTCTGCCAATGAAAACAGAGATCAGGAGCCACCACAGGCTCCCCTGACAGGAGTGATGTCAAGCTGGCCACACCCACCCCAGCCTCCTGAAGTCAAACACAGTCCTCATGCGGCCCTCAAAGACATCATATTTGACACCCCAGCTCTATTGTCTCCAACATCTGGATACCTCTGTTTTTTTAATAACCTTAAGAATATCCTGTAGAAATAGGCTTCCTTCCTTTTTAGACTGCTGTTCAAATCTTTATAAAAATCTCAAGACACTTTCAGGACTTAAGATTTACTACCATTACCATTATGATCACAATTTAACAGACTCTTTTCTGAAAATAATCATTGGGGATTATTTAAATTTCATACCGTATTGATGCATGTGTTTTGAACTGTGTTAAAGTTTATTAAGTAACTCCTTTAATTACAAGGAGATTATTTGCCAAGTAGAGAATTGAAACTGAAAACATCTACGAGAAGCTGCCTCATTTTGCTACAGTCACATATGATGTTTTTAGTAATATAATTTTATTCCATTGGGTAGCTTTAATATATTTATTTAGGGTTCTGTAAATAATATATACATTTATTTTCATGGATTATATAATGTTTTGTGTCATCTGTTGAATCTGCAATAATATTAGCATGTCAGAGGATTACAGAAAGTTTATTTCCACACTTAGAATATCCATGTCTCCCTGAAAAAAGCATGTGTTTATTTTTAAATCTACTCCTATCACATTTTATTAATTTACAGTATTGAATATTTTCTTAAGAAACTTGATCTTGTTTGGGGAGAATAAATTGAAACAATAGTAACTAGCAATTTGTCTAAAACTCCCTAAATAAATATATTTACTATATTTATAAATGCTGATTTATCTAACAAAATTTAACCAAACAAGTAAGCAGTATTTTTCTTTAAAAAAATTAAACTAATGTTCATTCCATCTTTTATAATGAAAGAAGATAAATATTTATATCAATTTCTAAGAGTTGTTTACAAATGAGATTGGAAATGTTAAAGAAAAGATAAAACACTGCAATCTATTATAGATTATACTGCTTAGAGTCTTATGCCAGTTTGGCACTCTACATTTACTGGAATTGCCATCTTAAAAGCTCTTCATTCCTTCAGCCATACTGACTGGAATCTCTGGGAACTGTTCAGTCAATATATTTGAAGAGTCTACGCTCATTCCAGCCTTGGGTATCCAGATGGCCTTGAAGAATGGAAGGAGGACAATTGTAGTTGGGAGCCACTGGAAAAGCTAAATCAGTTCCTGACAAATTATTAACAGAAAGAGTTATCTAGCCCAGAGGTGGGTTGCTAATTTTTTTACTACCGGTTCGGGCACGTTCCTGCATGCACAGAAGTGTCCGGGAGGGTGGGCGGAGCCTCCCACTACTGGCTCGCCCGATCTGGACCGAACCGGCAGCAACCCACCTCTGATCTAGTCTCATTTACACTTCACTTGTTATTCAAAGAAGTGTGATGAATAAATAAGCAAGCAAACAAACAAACAAACTCACAGGATCCCAGCATAGCTACAAACATTTCTTATTATCCACAAGGCTACAAGTTCCATCTGATTTTATGTCTCTGCAATGTTTTTAAGTAGAAAATGAAGCATAAGACTGCCATGGTGTAAAGAAAAGTTTCAAGTCTTTCTTCTTAATAGTGCTTCTGGGTCACACCAAGCACTCTTAAAATAATAAAATGGGGGGAAAAAGACAGTGATTTTTTTTTAATGTACCCATCTGCTCAGAAAAAGAACTTGAGATAGTATAGATCTGTCTGAGAAATTAAAGGGTTTCTTGTTGGCAGGAAACAACTTAGGCAGTTTAACGTCTCACTATTATATGATTGGTCATGCATATAATAGTAGAGATTTGAGAGCATTCCATTAACATGCTCCACAGCCCAAATGTTTGGAGACGTTTGGCTTCCTTGAATACCCATATACCTCAATGAATCCTTTATCAGAGCTATCATTCAATGACTGGCATTGTGCTCCAATTATGTTACTGCTACTTAGTTTTCGTGATACCTTTTTCTTTGGTAGGATCACCGAAAACAAGTATGGGTGATCCTTGCTTACTCACCATTCATTCAGTGATGGTTCAGCTACGGTGCTGTTGAATAAGATTTATAACCAGTCCTTGAAGTTGCAGCTGCTGTAGTTTCCCTGTTATCATGTGATTCAGTGATCACATGATTCAGTCGCTTGGCAGCTGGCAAACATTTATGACAGTTGCAGCATTCTGCGGTCACATGATTACCATTTGCAGCCCTCACAACCAGCTTCCACCAAAATTGTCAGTGAGGGAGTCTTCAGGAAGCCACAAGTCATTGTCATGTGACATCATGCTTAACAAGCATAGGTGATTATCTAATGACCACAGCTGGAATTGCCATAGTAAATTGGGTGCAACCATGCAACAGAGCTGTTAGTCTAACTGACTTTCATCAGTGAGGACTACCTGTAGACCAGGGGTGTCAAACTCACATCGTCACAGCATCATCACTTGAGGTATCACAACTTTCTTCCCCTTCACTGAACCAGATGTGGCCAGCATGTGATGCATCCAGCCTGCGGGCCGCCAGTTTGAACCCCTGCTGTAGACCAAACTGGGATCCTGAAAAGTTAAAAAAATAATCACCAAGGTTGGCCATCAGTAGAAATATTTGGATTTTCTTGCTGCCCCTTAATTAAAAATGTTATTTACATTATTTTATTTGTTTCTTTTCATATCTTCCTCCTGGAGTCTAAAGTGGCATGCAGTGGTATCTCGGCCCAGTTTTATTCCTACAAAGCAGATTAGTCCGAGAGTTAGTGAGTCTGCCAAAATACTAATGAAGCTGCACTTTAATGTAGTCGCTATTATGCTGACATAATCCCTGATGTTACACTGGTCTGATCCCTATTGAAGATATCCTTGCCCAATTCTCTGGGGGTGGCATCAGCTGATCCTAAGAATAAGCTCTTTATTTGGAACATTGCCTTGTAATTGTAATAGCTATTTCAATCTTTTGTTACAATTTGTTTTCTGGCTGAATAGATGAAGATGAATGACCTGATTGAGATGTTGTTTGCACTCACATGGTGCTCTCAACCAACTGTTGTTTTGGCAGCAAATGATTTAGAGATCCACACTAACTTTTCAGATTCTTTTGAGGTTGTTTTCACTAGGAACCTTTAGATTGAAAAGAAATGAGCTATTTCTTAATCTTCCAAGTGACTATTAGAATAGGAATATAGTTGGTTATTATTAGTTGTTTATAACTTTCTTACTACAAATCTTTTTATCCTTTTGTTTATTCATTGTGACATTTATTACATTTCCTATCATTTTTAATCAAACTAAGACTTAGGTCAATGGAGGAAAATATTTTATAAATAAGTATATTTACTGTACAACTAAAATGCATTCATGCTGTTGCTACCTGTCTATGAAGCTCATAGACAGGTAGCAACAGCCTGAATGCATTTTACTCCATAGATCAGGAGTCTGCAACCTTAAATACTCAAAGAGCCATTTGGACTTATTTTCCACAGAAAACAAAATACCAGGAGTCCCAAAACCTGGGTGGGCATAGCCAACTCAATGGCATTCACTCCCACCCAGTCACATGATCCCCCCAGCCACGC